AGAGAAAGAGAAAGAAAGAAAGAAAGAAAGAAAGAAAGAAAGAAAGAAAGAAAGAAAGAAAGAAAGAAAAAGAAAGAAAGAAAAGAAAGAAAAACTTTAGATGTTAATTTTAAAAAGTATGAAAGGGCACAGGGTTTGTCAAAATTATTTTGGGCATATATGAACAAAAACTCTTGAAAAACACTGATAAGATAAGCTCTACAATCTCTCCCAGCCCTACTACAGCCCTTTTTTCATCATACCGTAATTATTTTGTGCATATATCTTTTCTATCAGTGTTCCTCAGGGGCAGTGTTCCTCTCATCTTGCACGCCCTTAGAGTCTAGCACAGTACCTAGTATACATTCAGTAAACTCGTCTTGACTTAAACCCTAGTCATATCCTTTGTGCATTTCCTCTCTCCTCTGGCTTCATATGTCCAAAATAAAGTGACCAAATTTAGTTTGAATCAATTGCTCTTTTTTTTTTTTTTTAAAGATTTTATTTATTTATTTGAGAGAGAGAGAATGAGAGAGAGCATGAGAGGGAAGAGGGTCAGAGGGAGAAGCAGACTCCCCGCTGAGCAGGGAGCCCGATGTGGGACTTGATCCCGGGACTCCAGGATCATGACCTGAGCCGAAGGCAGTCGCTTAACCAACTGCGCCACCCAGGCGCCCTCAATTGTTCTTTCTTGTACATTCTTTGTTTTTTTGTTGTGTGTGTGTGTTTTATCATTTTGATCCATCAGTTCTGAGGTGAGTTGTCAGAGACTAGGAGTTAGAGACTAAAGTTCTAGCTTCAGCCCTACCCCTAACACCCTCCCTGACCTTGGGCAGCTCACATTCCCTCTCAAATGGAGGTGCTCAATTCCAGCCTTGGGGACACCTGGCTGGCTCAGTCAGTAGAGCATGCAACTCTTGATCTTGGAGTTATAGGTTCAAGCCCCATGTTGGGTGTGGAGATTACTTAAAAATAAAATCTTAAAAAATAATAATAATGATAATAAGATAAAATTCCAGCCTTAATCATCTGTATTTGCATAATGATTGCAGGCTGTTCTGTTAGCCTGATGACTCTTCTAAGCCTAGTTTTTCTCAGTGTAGTACTTAAAACTGCAGGACCAGTTCTACCACTTATAATAAATTAGCAAGGTCAGGCTGACCTCAAATAAAGATATAAGAACTGAACAAAAGAGAAAATATTTGCAAGTCATATATATGATAAGAACCTACTATCCAGGATATATAAAGAACTCTTGCAGCTCAACAATTAAAAGACAAATAACCCAACTTTAAAATGGACAAAAGAAAATAGTAACAACAATAATAATAATAAAATGGACAAAAAACTGAATAGACATTTCTTCAAAGAATATACATATAAATCGCCAATAAGAGCATGAAAAGATGCTCCATATCATTACCCATCAGGGAAATGCAAACAAAAATCACAATTAAATACCACTTCATACCCAATAGGATGGTTATAATCCAAAAAGACAGATAACAAGGATTGGGGAGGATGTGGAGAAATTAGAACCTTTATACAATGTTGGCAGGAATATAAAATGCTACAGTGACTTTGGAAAACAGTTTAGCAGTTCCTCAGAAGTTAAGCAGATTTACCATATGACCCAGCAATTCTACTCCTAGGTATATACCCAAGAAAATTGAAAACTTTGTGTGAGAATATGCTCACACAAAAGCTTATAACGAATGTTCATAGCAACATTATTCATAATAGTGAAAAAGTGGAAACAACCCAAATGTCCAGCAGTCAGTGAGTGGATAACCAAAATGTGGTATATCCATGAAATAGAATATTTATTCAGCCATTAAAAGTAACGACGTGCATGTGTGCCGACAAGGAGTATATGAGAATTCTCTGTACTTGTCACTCAAGTTTGCTTTAACCTAAAACTGCTCTAAAAAATAAAGCTTATTATTGAAAAATAGTGGTGAATGCTGACACTTGCTACAATACAGGTGAGCCTCAAGAACATTCTGCTAAGTGAAAGAAGCCAGACACAAAAGGCCACATATTGTATGATTCCATTCATATAAAATGTCCAGAATAGGGCAATCTGTAGAGACAGAAAGTAGATTAGTGGTTGCCAGTGTTTGTGGGGAGAGGGAAATGAGGAACGGGATTTCTTTCTGGGGTGATGAAAATATTCTGGAACAAGAGAGTAATGATGGTTATACAATCTGTGAATATATTAAAACTCACTGAACTATAAACTTTAAAATGGTGAATTCTGTGGGATACAAATTATATCTTAATTTAAAAAAAAAAACAACTAAGAATGCCGGGGTGGCTCAGTCAGTTAAGCGTCTGACTTAGGCTCAGGTCATGATCCCAGGGTCCTGGGATTGAGTCCCACATGGGGCTCCTTGCTCAGCGCGGAGCCTGCTTCTCCCTCTGCCTGCTGCTCCCCATGCTTGTGCTCTCTCTCTCTCTCTCTCTGACAAATAAATAAATAAAATATTTTTAGAAAAAAAGAAAAAGAAAACTAAGGAATAGCATATGTTTGGAAACTCGGATACCATCATCCCTGCCTCTTCAGTAAGCAATAATGGAATGATCAGAGGTGGATATAAATGTTGGGGCTCAAGGAATAACCCAGCTATGGCCATGTGGCTATGCCATCCATCTCCCTGCCTCCCACTTCCAACCCTCCCCTATTCCACCGCCAGCAACACTGCCATACATGTAACATTCCAGAAGAAACATCTTTTTGCCCTTAATGCCACATGTTTCTGGTTATAGACTTTCTTTACACATTTACAAAGTTTACATAGTAATTCTCAACAATATTACCAAATCAAAAGTAAAGAGTGGTAACTCTAGCACTACCATATCTTCCCCCGGAGACATACTTTCTACAAATCTCTGCCAAATTCTCCTTTCTGACTACTTGCTTTCAGAGCAAATGCTCCAGAATCTACAGTGACTTGCTTCAATTATTTACCATACCAATTCTAAACTCCCATCCCTAGTTTTTTAAGTTCTCTATAACCTAGTCCTACCTTTCTTTCTTTCTTTTTTTTTTTTATTTGTCAGAGAGAGAGACAGAACACAAGCAGGGGGAGAGGCAGGCAGAGGGAGAAGCAGGCTCCCCGCCAAGCAAGGAGCCCGATGTGGGACTCGATCATGACCTGAGCCGAAGGCAGCCGCTTAACCGACTGAGCCACCCAGGCGTCCCCTAGTCCTACCTTTCTTACCCAAGATTAAATCACATGACTGAAACATTTACTTGTTAATAATAGAATCTAACCTTAAAACCCTGTCCTGACTTTACAAATATGACTTTCTACTGAGCTGTTAGATTGTCTTGAAAACTATTCCAAAGTATCTCAGGCATCCCAGCATCTACCATCTATCCTTTCCCCTGATCTCCAGGGATGAGATGAAGGTTCTTGAGTGACACTGTGACCTTTACAAAAGCAGTGTTGTTTAAAAAAAAATTATGTAGCAATACACAGTACTACTAGGAGGAACTTGGGAGGTACCCTAACATAAGTTTATTATGTATATATCTTTCAAAAGTCCCTAGAAGGACACTTCATTTGGGACATAATGGGCATTCAGCAAGTACTTGTTCAACTGAGGCAAATTTATTTTTTAAACAGCAATTTTTGTATATTCACTGCATCTCTGCTTAATTCTATCAAGCTAAAATATTCTGGTAAATTTCTGACAAGAGCTCAAGTTATAAAGATCATCTAGGGGCACCAGGTGGCTCAGTTGGTTGAGCGTCTGACTCTTGTTTTCGGCTCAGGTCATGATCTCAGGGTCATGAGATCAAGCCCCACATCAATCCCCATGTCGAACCTTGCATTGGTCTCCATGCTTTGCGCTCAGCAGGGAGTCTGCTTAAAATTCTCTCCCTCTCCCTCCGCCCCTCCCCCTGCTCACACGCTCTCCCTCTCTCTCTAAATTAAATAAATAAATCTTTTTTAAAAATAGGTCATCTATTAGTGAGCCTTAATTTTCTCAGATTCAGCTTTCTTAAATGAAATTCTAAATAACTAATTTTTTTTACGAATTTTTTATTTTAAAAACTGAGCTATTGTTATAAACTTACTTTTTTGGTATTTTTCTTTGTCTTTTTAGAATATTATACCCAAAAAGGATGTTATCAATCGTGTTGCTTTGCCTATCAAAGCTACAAGACCCATCAGCATTAAACTCCAACCCAGACCTGCCAATATCACAGAATCCCAAAAGCCAAAGTTGGAGGCATCAAAACTTCAGGGCAAAAGGCTGACCTCAGGATGTGTTTCTTTTAACTCAAACTGTAAGCCTTCCAGCAATAGTCAACAACAGCATAAAGCTGGATCATCCACTATTGGAGAACTATCTAGAAAAACTGTGGGGTCATTTAATATACAAGAATTGAAAACTGCAAAGCAGCAAGTAGCAGATCAAAGAAATACTAAATGTGCAGACTCTGTGGACAATAACCATGTTGAAAATGAACCCTTGGATAGCTGTCTAAAAGAGATGAACAAAGAGAACTTGCCCCAAACCTTATCAGACTCTGAAAGGAAGCCAAATCCTGAATTATGGACAATAGGTAAGCCAAAGACTAACACTTATAATCAAGTCAAGAGCAGTTTGCCTCCTAAACAAGCCTTGGGCAAAAGTTCAGGGAATAGTGCTATTCTGAAAGGCAGAGTTAATAAACAATTTGTTGGAAAAACACAAATTAGGATACCACCAATAAAGTCACAGCAACTCTCTCGAGGAACAAATCTTGCAAGACCAGGAGAAAAACTCCCAAAGACAGTTCCCTCTCCCAATGTTCAGACCCTTAGTAGGAATCAGGCATCAAAGAAACCAGTGGTCAAGGACATAAAGGATATAAAGGTTAATAGGGATAAATATGAAAGACCAAATGAAACTAAGTTACAGTCACACACTGTCACTGAACAGAAAGTAAAACAAACCAAACCCTGGACATGCCCCAATGTGATTCAGGGGGGCTTTAATAACAGACATCCAAACATTAAGCAAGATCAGAAATCCACTCAACCTTGTTTTAGAACTCGGACATCATGTGCACTGCAAAAATCAAAAGCCATAAGCCAAAGGCCTAATTTGGCAGTTGGCAATTCTAATTCAGTCATTCCAAGCACCTCTAACATAATAGCAAATGGAACCAACGGTAGTAAATGCAGCAACAGCTATCAACAAAAAGCACAGACTTTGGACTCCAAGTTGAAAAAGACTCTTCCCCAGAACCATTTTCTTAATAAGACAGCTCCCAAAACTCAAGCTGGTAACAAAACCATAAATGGAAGAAGAGTCCCAAATGGGACCCAGACTAATCCAAATATTAAGAAGAAGATCACAGCAGAGGATCGAAGGTACTTTGCTTAATTCCATAATTTTGCAATTTAAGATTAGGCAAATTGACCATCAGGAATACTCAGGCCATAAATAATGGCTTCTGAGTAATTTTTAGCTACAACCCTGAAAAAAAAGAAGATTGGAAGCAAATACAACAAATACTGACTTGAGAGAGCTGGTTGGACATACATGTGTTATAAATTATTCTCTGTAATGTTCTGTGTGCTTGAAATAATTTATTTTTAAAAAAGAAATTGAAACAGAATGGTGGAGTAAGAAATAGGGGTTGTAGTTGTAGACTACTCATTCAAGAAGTACCCTGCAGGGACTGAACAGCAATAAAAGAGGGCAAGGTGGGAGGAGCCAGAGTAGTGAATTTACATAGCTAGGAAGCAGGGAGTTGGTAGTCCCTTGTTAAGCAGACCAGTGAATCCAGGAGAGTTATCAGGGAAGAAGGAAAAGGAAACTTCCATGAATATGAGCAGGCCAAGTTTTGAAAAGTAAGCTAAGACATAGAGGAGCAATGAGTTCACATCCATAGTTCAGACAGTAGAAATTGGGATCTCAGGGTGCTGGGGGTTCACATTAACATGAATGTAGCTGGAAACCAAGCTAAAGGATTTCACACTGTCTGCATAGGACTAGATAGAGTCTCACAATGTGGTGAACCTCCCAGGAGAAGTGCCTGTGTACATTTGGGTGTGATAGAAAATAAGGAAATTCCTGACAAGGGTGAAAGGAACATGTAAAATTAGATGGTAGCTAAGAGGTATAGCAGGATGAAGTGAGGGCAGGATCTATTCTCTGAATACAGCCCTGAACACCACCACCAAGTTCTCTGCCCTCCTGAAGAGACAGAAAATACACAGCTTCATTTAGGGTGATGTGATTGAGAGAGTGAGCTGGGCTGACTTCTTTAGAAGGAAGGATCAGGGAGGTACTTTCAACAGTAACATCTGGTCTAGGAAAAGGATAGTGGCAAAAAGAAGGATGAGCCTTCTGAGCAAAACGAAAACTGAGTACAAAGACTCCAAGTTGGTGAATGAGGAAGTCAGGGTCCCTCCCCTGGAGCTCATAGTCTAGACCAGATAATGGGATGATGGGTCTTTAAGACAGTGTGTGGAGTGCTGACTGTGTTTGATTACACAAGAGGAATCTCTGGAGAGAGATCACTCACTCATTGATCTAGTGTTCCTTAACACCGACAGTGTGCTGGACACTGGGAGATACAGTGGTGAGCACACAGTCACAGTCTACCTTAATGGAGCTTTTTTTTCTGGTGTCCATATGGAAAGTACTAGAATAATAAAATCATAGCATTGAGGTCCTGGGAGTAAATTGGCTTTAGAAAAAGGTAAGTCTCCTCTTCATTTATGTTTGGAAGGAAGGCTGAGTGAGGAAGAATGCCAGGAACATAGAGGAAACAGAGGCCAGACATCTCAGCTTCTGTCATTAAGCAGGTGGTTAGCATGAAGGTGAAGGAGTCAGGGCAGTTGCGGCTGAAATAAGCACTATGTATTGTGCTCTGCAGTCAAGGAGAGAAATGAGGGTTAATTAGTTATTGACATTCTGGAAAAAGCAAAACCATAAGGTCAGAAAACAGATCGGTGGTCACCAGGAGCTAGGGATGAGGAGCAGGGTTGACTATCAAGAAGCATGAGGGAATTTTTGAAGGGATTATATCTTGATTATAATTGTGGTGGCACGACTTTGTGCATTTGTCAAAACTCACAGAACTGTACACTAAAAAAAAAATGTGAATTTTGCTGTATGTTACTGAACACTTGTAGGTTCTAATCACTGAGCTAGGCACTGGGACATCCAAGGTTTTTACCTTCACAGAACTTGCATTCTAGTGAAGAAGACAGAAAATCAACACGGTGATGAAATAAAATAATTACACATAATTACCTCTTCAAAGAGGTGTTATTTGAGCAGAGGACTGAATGAAGATGATAATTCAAGACACTGAGACAGGAATGAGTGTTGGTCAAGTAACAGAAGGGATACCAAAGCTCCTGGAGGGGAGAGAGTAAGAGAGAAAGTGGTACGACATGAGGTTGGAGAGGCAGGCAGGATCCAAATTACACTGCCTTTCCACCATGGAAAACATGTTTAATTTTATTCCAAGAGCCATGGGAAGTTTCTGGCAGTGACACGGTCTGCTTTACACTTTAAAAACCACTCTGGCTACTGGGCACATGATAAATTTGATGAGGGTGAGAGTGGAAGCAAGGACTTGAGTTAGGAAGGAAGCTGCTATGGCATTTCAAGCAGAAGGTGACAGTGATATGGACTAGGATGGCGATAGTAGAGATAGAAGACTACTGCCTGTACAATGGTATATCAGATGTGAGGGAAAGAAACAATTACATCAAGACAACTCCTAGTTCTAGGTCCTAACAACGGGGTAGATTGGGGTACTATTCCCCAATATAGGCTATTTGGGAACAGGTTTGGAGATGAAAATCAAGACCTTTGTTTTAGACAGTATTAAATTTGAAGTGACTGCCAGACCTCAAATAAAAAATACCAACTAGGCAGTGGGTTTTATAAAGTTTGGGGCTCTAGGGAAAAATCTGGCTTGAAATGTACATCTGTGATTTATAAACATGTAGTAATTTAAAGAAGCTGAAGAGCCTACATTCACATGCTTGAATCCATGCCTCTTGGTACGTCCTCCAACCGTAGTCTATTGACTGCTTAGAAGGAAGAGCAGAAAATGTGAATGGTGGAGGAGAGTGAGGATTAAGATTTGGCCACCATCAGAGACTAGCTACTTAAGACTCCTGAAATTATTGATCTTGTTTAGGAAGAAAGGGGGTCATGTGTGGTCAGGAGAGGGCTAAGGAACTGGGCAAAGTGTGTCACTCTGGCCAAGACCCTACTAAGAGCAGAATTCAGGTTTGGTGGGTCTGGTTGAATGGCAGATAGAGAGCTTATGGTAAGATAAACGAAGTGCTGAGTTTGTGATCTCAGAGATGGAGCGATGTCTTAGGAAAGCAAGTGCCAGAAGTAATATACAAGTGAAATGAAAATTTTAAGAGAAAAATAATGAAGAATAATCATGAAGTCAAGGAATTTGAAGACTGAGATTCTAGTAATCCCTCTGCAGTCTGCCTTCTGAAGGGTAGGGGCAACCATTGCTGCAATTACCCATTTGTAAATTGTTTTTAATTCCATTCTCCTGACTTTATGTGTAGTTGAAGGTGTGTAGTGGTACTCAATCCATGCATATCTTACACTTTGAAAGTGTGACTATAAACAAAAAGAAACCTAAAGCATTTTATCACCCCCCCCCTTAATTTTATAACAGGAAACAACTGGAAGAATGGCAGAAATCCAAGGGGAAAATCTATAAACGGCCTCCTATGGAACTTAAAACAAAAAGAAAAATAATAGAGGAAATGAATATTTCATTCTGGAAGAGTATGGAAGAAGAAGATAAAGAAAAGAAAGCACAACTTGAACTGTCCAATAAAATTAACAACACTCTAACACAATGTCTGCAGCTCATTGAGGAGGTGAGTAAGGAGGATAAGCTCCCAAAGCTTTGGCCTAGAGTCTTAGAGTTTTTAAATATTTTTCTTAAATATGGTGTAAGAGAGATAACCTTGGTCTAAGCAGAAATTCATCTGCTCTTTTTAATATAGAAGAAGAATAGTAATAATAATGATGGCATGCACTTAAATAAAGGCTCTTATATGCCAGGCACTGTTCTAACACTTTACTTATATGATCTCATACATTTATCATAACAACTATTACCATGCCCACTTTACAAATGAAACTGAGGCACAAAGAAGTTGGAAAACTAACCCAAGCAGTCTGCCTCTCAAGGGATCCAAAAGGAATTTTGCCTTCTTTAGGCATCAAGGTCAAGGAGTAAATACTTGACATTTGGACATGAAGCTGAAGTCAAAGGCAAGGTCATGTGTAAAATTAGTTTATCCTGATGACTCTGGGTAACTATAAATGGCATCTAAATTGTATCTTGGGGGGCGCCTGGGTGGCTCAGTTGGTTGCGCGACTGCCTTCGGCTCAGGTCATGATCCTGGAGTCCCGGGATCGAGTCCCACATCGGGCTCCCTGCTCAGCGGGGAGTCTGCTTCTCCCTCTGGCCCTCCCCCCTCTCATGTGCTCTCTCTCTCTCTCTCATTCTCACTCTCTCAATAAATAAATAAATAAATAAATAAATAAATAAATAAATAAACAAATAAATAAATAAATTGTATCTTGGATTCTGCAGATAAGGATAAAGGAGATGGTAAGCAAAGGATATGATACTTGGAGACGCCTTGAAGGAAAAATATATTAATAAAAAACAATTGGGTAGACATCTATACTAAGGTCCTTGCCTGAAGCAAACCCATTCTGTCCTTTGGCTGGTGATGTTGGACAGCAACAGAAAAAGGAAACCTTCAATTTAGGTCTACTGCAGGCAATTTTTTCACACAATTCAGTTAAACATTAATTATTTCTTTTTTATGGAATTAAAGTTCAATTCTTTTTTTGTTGTTGCTCTTTTATTTTCATTGTATTAAAGAAAATGCATGAATACATTCTTTAACAATTTTTTGTTTTAGATTTTATTTATTTATTTGACAGAGAGAGAGAAACAGAGGGAGCTACAGAGGAAGAAGGAGAAGCAGACTCCCCACTGAGCAGGGATCCTGATGTGGGACTCGATCCCAGGAACCTGGGATCGTGACCTGAGCCGAAGGCAGATGCTTAATGGACGGAGCCACCCAGGCACCCCCATGAATACATTCTAATTATTAAAAAAATATTTCAGGGACAACTGGGTGGCCCAATTGGTTAAGCGTTAAGACTCTTGATTTCAGCTCAGGTCATGATCTCAGGGTCATGAGATTGAGCCCCACGTTGGGCTTTGCACTGCACCTGCGCATGGAGCCTGCTTGAGATTCTCTGGCTCCCTCTGCCCGCCCCTCCCCCGCTCTCCAAAAAAAATAATAATAATAATAAATAGAATTAAAAATAAAAAAATTTCAAACAATACAGAAAATGACTAGACCTCCCCACCGAACCCGTCTGTGCATGCACACACACCAATTATACATCCCAGGCTTCTCCCTAGAGCTGACCACTATTGCCAGTTATCCATCCAGACAGCTTTTATGCAAGTACATACCATGTAGGCACATAAAGAAATGAAGTATATAGTTTTGTGAGTTGCAATTATTTTATCTCAGATTTTTATATATGTTCTTCGGTTGTCTTTTCTTGTGTTTCTTTAATATTAGTATTATGCTGGCTTTGTCAAATAAGTTGGGCATTTTCCTCTTCTCCTATACTCTGAAAACAGTTTATACAACATGAGAATTATTTTTTCTTTGAAGGTTTGGTAAGAACTTGCTCATAAAGTTATCTGGACTATGGTGCATAGTTTGGGGTATATCTTTTCAATTTTTTCTGTGATCATTGGTCTATTTGGGTTTTGTATTTCCCAAGCTAATTTTAGTAATTTTGTGCCTTTTATTTAAAGATTTTTCTATCAATCTTTTTAAAAGGCCGTCTTTGGGGTTTTATTGATTTTTTTTCTCTTGCATCAATGTCTGCATCTATTTTTATGTTATTGTTTTTAATTAGCCTTTCTAGTTGAAAGCTTAAATCATTTATGTCAGTCTTATTTTCTTAAAAATACATTTTAATGCTATAAATTTGCCTCTGAATTTAGCTTTGGTCATACCCTTTATGTTTGATTAGGTAATGTTCTGTATTAGTCAGAGTCAACTCAGAAAAACGGAAACTGCACCAGGTAGATCTTAACAGAAAGAATATAATGTAAAGGTTGTTTTCACAATGTCTTATGTAAGTTCCCTAGAAGCAAACCCTAAGAGGAGAATTTGTGTGAAAGTAACTTACTAGGAAGAGGATCCCAGGGAAAACAGAGGGGAGTGGGAATGTGGAGCCAGGAAGGGAAGGAAGACAAGTAGGATGTGGTATCAAGCAAAATTCATGGAATATAACTGTGGCACAATCCCACAGGGGAGCTCTGGAGACTGGATCAGACCTCTCAGAGTCATCCTGATCAGGGGCAAAGAACCTATAGTATTAATACTTCCATGGTCATTGATTAATGGCTGCCCCTGGGGAGACAAAAATTCCCAGGCACCCTGACTCTCTGGTACATACAAAGAGGAGCAGATGCTGGCTGTTGGACATGAAAGCACTTTGTGAGCCTGCGTGCACAAAAATGGTAAACGGACCATCAGAGGAAATATGGGTACTACACACAGAGCTGACAGCAAAAAGGAACCTGAGGTAACAGAGGCACTAACTTCAGGAAGCGGCTATTACCCACTGCATCTAAGGGGAACAAAGAGAGGTTGAGGGTATTAGAATCTAGAAGCTAGGAGAAACAAACTCCAACTCTAAGGAGGCCATACTACCCAGCAGATGCTGGTACCAGAAACTGGAGGAGGGGCCCAGCAGGGCTGGGACTCAGACCTTGAGGAGAGGATGTTACCCAGTTGGTGCTCTTGCCTCTGAAAGAGCACAGTGAGGCAGGATCTGTAAGTGCCAGGAAAAGAGGTGGAGGCTAGAACCAACTACTGTTACCACAGTGAAGGACCATTGTTGAGGTAGCAAAAGCAAATGGGAAAGAGGAAGTCCCTCTCTTCTCCATCCCCACAAACTCCCTCTAGCTCCCCCTACTGGCAGAGCCCAGTGAGGAGCTGCTGTGAAAACAGTGGGTGATTTACAGAATTCCAGCCCCAGTGTCCCAAAGCAGAGGATAAAAGGTTGGTTTGGAGCTAGGAGGCCATAGGTTAATAATGGACATGCATTTTCATTTTGTTCATCTCTAAATAGTTTGAGATTTCCATTTTGAGTTCTTTAGCCCGAAAGTTATCTTAGAAGAATATCTTTTAACTTCCAGATAGAGTTCTGTTTTGTTTTGTTTTTCCTATCTTTCTTCCAACTTTTAATTATACTGCATTGTAAATGTAGCCTGTATGTGTTCTGCTTGATAGAATTTGTTGAAAATTAATGTCCGATCGGTCGTGGTGAATGTTCCATCTCTTAGATGGATGTTGCAATTCCTGAGTAATAGATATTCCCTCCAGAACTCTTAACTTTTCTTTCATACTCTTCATTTCTTTGTTCTGTTGCACTGAGTTCTGGGAGAATTCCACAGCCAAATTTTCAGCTCGTTGATTTCTTCTTCAACTCTGTTGAGTTTTATGCCTCTTTCATGTAGTGTTGGTTTTCTCAAACATTGATGATTCTTGATTGTAAGCTTACCTTTGGGGCTTCCCCATCTCAGGAGGACTAGGAGTTGCTGCTTAGCTGAGTGTGCCAGTATGTGGGTTTCTGGTCATGGTAGCTCCCCATATTCCTTCTAGTCCATTTCACTGCCCGCTCTGGGTACAAGCCAGAAGGGGACCAAATTAGTGAGGACATTTTAAAGATACTTTTTGTGAGAATTAGCCCTTTTTATATAGGCTGTTTGGATCCCCAACACACACCCCTATGACCCTTGCTTACCTGTGCCATCCTTCATACTTCTGTTAGAGACATACGGAAATTCTACTCACTATTCTGTGTTTACATTATTATGAATATGTAAGAAATATATGAATGTTGATTACTGTAGGGTTTGGTTTGGTTTGGGGTTTGGTTTTGCATAAAAACGTAAACATATTCCTTACCTTCAGCTATGAAAAACATTTTACTATTTGGTCTCATGTAACTCTTAAAATTGAATGACCAGTGTCAAAACTCACTGAAATATACTGTTTATTTTTTTTTAAGATTTTATTTATTTATTTATTTATTGAAGAGCGAGCGAGAGAGAAACAGCATGAGAGGGTAGAGGGTCAGAGGGAGAAGCAGGCTCCCCACTGAGCCGGGAGCCCGATGTGGGACTGATCCCAGGACTCCAGGATCATGACCTGAGCCGAAAGCAGTCGCTTAACCAACTGAGCCACCCAGGCACCCTGAAATATACTGTTTAAATGGATGCATTTTATTATATGTAAACTGTACCTCAGTAAAATTGAATTTTTAAAAAAATTAAGAAAAAGTGATCAGACTGATTTCTGCATAACTGCCCTGATGAATATTCGATATGAGAATAACAGCAAAATGGTAATAATTACCTCTGGGTATTTTTTTTTTTTACAGGGTGTACCTTCTAATGCAATATTTACCATATTGTCCAGTATTCCTGAGGTCGAAAAATTTGCTAAATTCTGGATCTGTAAAGCAAAGTTGTTGGCAAGTAAAGGCACCTTTGATGTTATTGGGCTGTACGAAGAGGCCATTAGAAACGGGGCAACAGTGAGTATCTGTCTTGGGTGGATGACTTCCTGAAAATTCTCTCATGTGAGTTGTCTATTGTTTGCCATATGGCAGTCATACAATGTTATGTTAAACTTCTAATTCACTCCATAAAGTTATACACAGATTATGAAGCACAACATGTCCTTTATGTACATTTAATTAAAAATATACTTGCTAGAGGGGCACCTGGGTGGCTCAGTCTGTTAAGCGTCCAACTCATGATTTCAACTCAGGTCATGATCTCATGAGTCATGTGATCGGGCCCCGTGTTGGACTACCCATTCCCCACTCAGCAGGGAGTCTGCTTGAGATTCTCTCTCTCCCTCTGCCTCTTCCCCCACCCCACTCACACACTCTCTCTACCTCTCTGTTTCTCTCTCTCTCAAATGAATAAATAAATCTTTAAAAAAAATTTTTTTTAATTTATTTGGTATAAGTAGTGTTTCATGTAAACTAATAGAATCACTGTTCTTGTCAAGTGAGTGTGTCTCACTTTACACTCACTGTAGAAATATGCACTTGTGGAAAGTAATAGCATGGGAAGTTACAACATCAGTGTGCAGTACTTACAAAATCATACCTCACCATAAAAAACCTAAAAATATATTAAGCCCAACATATCAATATTCATAGAGCAATAATTCAGAGCCATTACATGAAAAAAAATTTAATTCTAAAACATAGTAAAACCGTCTCCATATAACTTTTTTTTCACAAAGACTGCATCCAACAGTTTTATAACTCTTTTCACTTAAATGTCACTTGCCATGTCATTTCATATTCTACCATACCTCTTCCCATGATTGTTCAAAATCAGAGTTGTACATGCACATAGTTTAAATAGTCAAAACTGTTCAATAAGTTTCTTTCCATAAGGCCTCTGTGTCCCTCCCCTCCCATTTCCCACTCCCCAGAGCAAACTGATTATTTTCATATTCACCTGGATAGTTTCAGATAGTGTGCTTATATTGCTATTTTTTGATTTTTCTGTTTTAGACATGATTTGTAGACTTCAAACTACGCAGGATAAGAATTTAACTCTTTCTGACACACCTGCATGTATCCCCAAGAGACACACCCTGCAAATTTTGCCATCCTTCATATTAGAGTCATATGGAAATCCTGGTCACTGTTGTTATGAATAATCCTGTATTCATATTGTTATGAATATGTAAGAAATACATGAATACATTGAGCCATGTAATATATACTAAGGTTATTTTGCCTTTCAAGCGTGACTTTCTGCTTCTCCTGAAGTTAATTATTGTCTTGTTTCCCCTTTCTTAGTTTTCTGAGTATTTATTAGTATATAATTGATTCCAAACTTTTCTCTAATTGTCTAAATTTCTCAATACCTCTTTTTTAATTCAAGTTAGTTAACATATAGTGTAGTACTGGTTTCAGGAGCAGAATTTAGTGATTCATCACTTACATGTAACACCAAGTGGTAACACAAGTGCCCCGTTTAATGCCCGTCACCCATTTACCCCATTCCCCCACCCACCTCCCCTCCAGCAACCCTCAGTTTATTCTCTATAGTTAAGAGTCACTTACAGTTTGCCTCCCTCTCTGTTTTCATCTTATTTTTTCTTCCCTTCCCCTATGTTCATCTGTTTGGTTTCTTAAATTCTACATATGAGTGAAATCATATGATATTTGTCTTTCTCTGACTTAACTTATTTCACTTAGCATAATACACTATAGTTCCATCCATGTTGTTGCAAATGGCAAGATTTCATGCTTTTTGATGGCTGCATAATATTCCATTGTGTATATATACACCACATCTTCTTTATGCATTCATAAGTTGATGGACATTTGGGCTCTTTCCATAATTTGGCTATTGCAGATAGTGCTGCTATGAACATCGGGGTCCATGTGCCCCTTCAAGTCAGCATTTTTGTATCCTTTGGATAAATACCCAGTAGTACAATCCCTGGGTTTTAGAGTAGTTCTATTTTTAACTTTTTGAGGAATCTCCATACTGTTTTCCAGAATGGCTTTACCAGCTTGCATTCCCATCAGCAATGCAAAATGGTTCCCTTTCTCTACATCCTCACCAACAACTATTATTTCCTGAGTTGTTAATTTTAGCCATTCTTACAGGTGGGAGGTGGTATCTCATTGTGGTTTTGATTTGTATTTCCCTGATGCCAAGTGATGTTGAGCATTTTTTCATGTATCTCTTAGCCATTTGTATGTCTTCTTTGGAAAAATGTCTGTTCATGTCTTCTGCCCATTTCTTAATTGGATTATTTCTTTTTGGGGTGTTGATTTTGATGAGTTCTTTATAGATTCTGGATACTAACCCTTTATCAGATATGTCACTTGCAAATATCTTCTCCCATTCCATTGGTTGCCTTTTAGTTTTGTTGATTGTTTCCTTCACTGTGCAGAAGCTTTTCATCTTGATGAGGTCCAAAATTTCTCAATACTTTTAAAATGTCAGATAGCCTATCGATTTCTTTTTCTTAGAGACCCTTCTCCCAGAAGTTTCTGACATGTTCCAGTCTTGACAGGTTGCTCTTTACCACCGTCTTTGCATGTCATCCTGGGACCTTTCACCATCACCCTCACATTCCCGTTTCTATCTGCGTTATCTGTTTTTCTTCTCCAGCGCTTTTCTTCTCTCTCTGTTTTTCATTGTTGTTGGTTGGGGGGGGGGTATTTTGGTTTTGTTTTAATTTTATTATTTTTATTTGAAAGAGCGTGCGTGTGTACATGGGGGGAGGGGCAGAGGGAGAGAATCTTCAAGCAGGCTCCCCATTGAGCACGGAGCCTGACTCGGGGCTTAATCCCATGACCTATGAGATCATGACCTGAGCTGAAACCAAGA